TGTGTGGTCCCAGGCAGGTCGTGGGCAGAGCCCGTGGCAGCTGTGTGGTCCCAGGCAGGTCATGGGCAGAGCCCGTGGCAGCTGTGTGGTCCCAGACAGGTCGTGGGCAGAGCTGGCAGCTGTGTGGTCCCAGCAGGTCTTGACCAGAGCCTGTGGGTGGCAGCTGTGTGGTCCCAGGCAGGTCATGGACAGAGCCCGTGGCAGCTGTGTGGTTCCAGGCAGGTTGTGGGCAGAGCCCGTGGCAGCTGTGTGGTTCCAGGCAGGTCATGGGCAGAGCCTGTGGCAGCTGTGTGGTCCCAGGCAGGTCGCAGCTCAGTAGCCCCAGGCACCAGCCCCTCCCCAGTGCTAGGAAGGCCTTGACAGCTAGAGCAGTTGGGTCTCGGATGGTGAGGAGCGGGCTTAGGACCCAGCAGCTGACGGTGTGAAGGGGCCTCCAGGTCTCTGACTCACCTCCTTGCCTCGTACCTTAGTTTCCTCGTGTGTAAACAAGGACTTTGGATGGGCTGTCTGCACTTTTGGAGTCTGGTATAAAGAAATGAAGTCACTTCCTGTATTCCGCTGTGGATCCTCTTCACGAATGACATCCTTTTTTGTTGTTTATTTTTTAGACAGGATCTTGCTCTCACCCAGGCTGGAGTGTAGTGGCGTGATCATGGCTCACTGTAGCCTCTGTCTGCTGGGCTTAAGCAATCCTCCCACCTCAGCCTCCTGAGTAGCTAGGACGCACCACCATGCCAGCTAGATTTTTTTTTTTTTTTTTTTAATTTGAGACAGAGTCTCACTCTGTCACCTAGGCTGGAGTATAGTGGTGTGATCTCAGCTCACTGCAACCTCTGCCTCCTGGGCTCAAGTGATCTTCCCACTCAGCCTCCCAGGTAGCTGAGAGTACAGGTGCATGCCACCACGCCTGGCTAATTTTTTTGTATTTTTGGTAGAGATAGGGTTTTGCCATGTTGCCCAGGCTGCTCTCGAACTCCTGAGCTCAAGTGATCCTCTGGCCTTGGCCTCCCAAAGTGCTAGGATTATAGGCGTGAGCCACTGTGCCAGCCAACATCTTTTTTCCAGTCGATTCTAGGACAGGGTGGACTCTTGTGATGTCGGGACACCAAGCAGAAGGGCCCAAAGGTACTTTGCCCTCTGTGGGAAGAAGATTGTTTACTTGGCTGAAAATGGAAAGGGCTTTGACTTTCCCAGAGAGGACTGGATCCTAGTCCTAGCTGGGGGATCCCCGGGGGTCATATTAACAGGTGCACTATTCTGTCAGCTCCTCTGGGTTTGGTTTTGTGCTGTTAGCAGAGCCCTGATGAGCAAAGGCAGGTTAAGTCTTGGAGGGGATCAAGGTGGGTGGCAGGTTAGAAAATCTCAGCCGGCCGGGCGCAGTGGCTCACGCCTGTAATCCCAGCACTTTGGGAGGCCAAGCGGCGGATCATGAGGTCAGGAGATCGAGACCATCCTGACTAACACGGTGAAACCCCGTCTCTACTAAAAATACAAAAAATTAGCCCGGTGTGATGGCAGGCACTTGTAGTCCCAGCTGCTTGGGAGGCTGAGACAGGAGAATGGCATGAACCCGGGAGGCGGAGCTTGCAGTGAGCCGAGATTGTGCCACTGCACTCCAGCCTGGGTGACAGAGTGAGACTCTGTCTCAAAAAAAAAAAAAAGAAAAGAAAAGAAAACCTCAGCCACGGCCTGAGACAGACACCCCACTTAATGCTCAGTGCAGCAGACGGTTCCTGTTCTGTCCTGGCTCCTGGGGGCTGCATTATCCAAACTGGCGATCAGCAGGGATGTGCAGCCTGACAAGACTGAGGGTGTCTTGAGGATGCAGGGCCAGCATGCTAGAGCCTGGGCAGGCCTGAGAATCAGGACTGGCAGGCCAAGGATAGAGGGAGCCCCTGTCGTGCAAGGGTCAGCGTCTAGGAAGGGATGCTGGGGCATGAATCACTCCAGTGTGGCCTCAGGCAGCCAGAATTTTTCCCCAATGTGGAGGTGACAGGCTGGTGTGTGCAGAGCGCCTGTCTGTAGGAGGCTGGGGCCTGCAGTGGCCCCTTGAGCAGGTAGCTCTGAGAGTGGCCCTTGGACTGGGGGAGTGTGGGCTGAGCTTTCCTCTTTTTTTTTTTTTTTTTTTTTTTT